TATATTACATGTTGGGAAATGTTTTGGACAGATGGAGAGAGATTTTATAGATTTCTGTTGAAGTGAGCCGAGCCTGAAGACCCTCCTCTCGTCCAGATAAAGAGCAGCTGTTTTCTTTCTGCACGCTGGATTCTTTTAAGTTTCCTGAACTTTTCKTTGGACGTCTTGATGTTCCACTCAGAAACCTCAGGTGTTTCCGAAGAAAATGAGGATCCCTGGAGTTCTGCTGGTTCTGTCGGCGACTCTGTGCTCTGCTCAGAAACAGAAAGCAGAGTGGGATCACAGGAGTGAGGGTGAGTTGTTCTCCTGACGACACAGACCCTGCGTGTTCTCTTTGTTTTTGTATTTAAAGSTCAGTAACAAAAGGTCGCTGTTTTCTCGTTGATTTGCTCTCCTGCAGCAGAGAGGATGAACAGCAGAGGATGTTCGAACCTCACGCTGGTTTTGGACAACTGGAAGTACGCCATCATGACTCAGGTTAAAGATCTGCTGCTGCACGACCACAACACCGTGCTGCCCGACTATGGAAGGTGAGGACACGTCCCCCGCTCTTCATCCACTGAGTCATTCAGAGGTCAGAGGTCAGGAACTGGACCGAAACTGAGAGGAAGAGATTTCAGGGCATCTTTGTCACTTAGGACGAAAATGTGCAGACCGGGGTGGATCAAGATTTCTGCACWGTAAAATAATCGTCAAAACTTTTATTTTCACTAGTTTACATCACAATTAACAAACGTGCAGGAGATGATGCATCTGTAGATGGTGGGGATTAAAGAATCCGTTTCCCTCTGCAGGATCCAGCCTCTGTCGGACGCCCTGGGAGATCTCTACAAAGAGTTCAACGCCCTGAAAGCTCGTCTCACCGAGCTCACGGCTAAGTTCGAAGACGCTGAGGCCTTCGTGGACGAAGTGCGTTTGGGAAGGAAACCAGCCTCACAGAGAGGAGAACCTCGACCCGTTGGATCAGTGCCAGGAGGAGGTGTTGTTGGAGGTGGGCCTGCTGGGCGGAGGAGCAGGGTTGTCATCAGAAGAATCAAGAAGCCCATCGACTCACAGTAACAGTGACCGGATGCGTCATCATAATGTTCTTTTTAATGCATTAAAATTATTGTTTGATTCGAAGAACAGTGTGTTTCATGAATAAATGCATCGTTGTGGTGGTGTTCTACAGATTAGGGCAGGAATTATAAATTTAATGTGTCAAATACYTGAATAACAATGGATTCAGCTGAAATCTTTCTTTTTTATTCACCATTTTATTACTTTTATCATCTTTAAAATAAACTGTTATCTGAACTCTGAATCTAAAAATTATGATACAAAACCTTGCTTGTTTTGCTGTCTAGTTTTAATTTTTAATTCAGAAAAGCTATGAATTTTTATTACAACAAGAGGGTGCCCTGTCCCTACAAATATTATATTCTGCTTCAAAGTTTCCTTCCAAATATTAAAATGTGTTTTTTATAATAAAACATGTTTTTATTTTTATTTTTCTGAACTTGTTTGCTTTAACGTTTTGCCTATTTGCCTTTCAGCACATTAGTACTATTG